TGAGGGTTAAGACGTAAGTGAGTTTAATGTCCCATTGATTGGCATGTCAATGGACAGGACAAATATTGACCGAGGCCAGCAGAAATTGCTCATACGACCCGTTGGCAATAAACAAGAGTCCTTAGTTGATTCATTTGTTTTGCCTGGCCAAACAAATCCAGGACCAATCAGCAGCTGTTACACATTATTTCGAATTTTCAAGTAAGAGTAAGAGGGAGGGGATTACAATTATTGAGTTGAATATTTAAGTAAGGGGTTAAGCCTTTGCATTTTCCTAAAATTTCCCCCAGAGAGAGAGTGCGAAGATATTTGTCTTAAAGAAAACCCATTAAGAAAGAGAGAGTAGAGAAAAAAGAACGTTGAAAACTTTGGCAGCAATCTGTCAACACTTTCCTTGGCTCTCCCTTATTTTTTTTTGCTTTTGGCCAGGTGCCCGCAAATACCCGTCGGTAATTATTTATATGCCCCTCTTAACCCCTAAACTTGGTGGTGGGACCACAGAATAAGAAAATACAAGGGATTGGGAAAAAGAAAAGAAAAGAACGAAAAAAAACGAAAGCAATTAGTCACAAAGTTTCGGGGCTCGAAAAGTTTCTGACTTGCATTTTTAAGGAGCACCCAAAATGGCCGCAACCGAAGGGCGCTAAGTAAATGTAATGTCCTGCTTAAGAGCGTAAGGAGGCCGAGAAAATGGAGAAAGACAAGGGAAACTCACAAAAGATACACAATAAAACAAGAAGGGAAGCTTGCTTCGGCACGCCGAAGTTTATATACCCTTGCAGATAGAACTTCGATGACTAGGAATCAATACAACATAAATTATATATATTTATATAAGAAAAAACAATGAAGTAATACTTGATTTCCTTTCATTCACATGTACATACAGTTTTAAATTTATAGATTTTAATTTTTCCTCTATATCTACCGATTGTTCCTATGGGAGCTATAAGATATAGTAGTCCGATTTTTATAAAATTTTACACAACGTTGTAGAATATTATAAAATGTATTTATCTCAAATTTAATAAAATTCTGTTGAAAACTGAAAATGTTATAATTTTTTTTGTAAAAATTTTCCATCATTTCTAGGCAGCTATATGATATAGTCGTCCGATCCGGCCAGTTCCGACTTATATACGAGTTAGAGTATATAGAATACTAAATAGACAGACGGACAGACGGACAGAAGGACAGAAGTACAGACGGACAGAAGGACAGAAGGACAGAAGGACAGAAGGACAGAAGGACAGAAGGACAGACGGACAGACGGACAGACGGACAGACGGACAGACGGACAGACGGACAGTAGGACAGAAGGACAGACGGACAGACGGACATGGCTAGATCGACTCGGCTGTTAATTCTGATCAAGAATATATATGCTTTTTATAGTCGGAGGTGCCTCCTTCACTGCGTTGCAAACTTCTGACTGAAATTATAATACCCTGTAAGGGTATAAAAGGAAAACGTTAAGGCGATGGTGTAACTAATAGTAACAGTTAACAAAACAGCCAAATGTATGGCCAAACAACAATAGGTAACAGGTTACAGGTAACTGGCCAAAAACCGCCCCCAATAACAGTTGGGCAAACTACTAACGGTAAAGGTATAAAGGTAAAACTCAGCAACAAAAGTGTGCAATTAATGTTAAACCTGGTTGCCACCCCCAACTCGTAAAAAAGTGAGCTCAGAATGGCAGTATTAACATAAACAGCACTAAAAAAAGCTGCAAAGGCTGCAAAAAGGATGTCAATGGTCGGGGACTGTTGCACTCGAAAAGCTTCAACAACAAGGACCTGTCGCAGATGCACACAAACAGCGCTGAAAGTCACCAGCTTTTCACTTGGGGATGTTCAAGGATTTAATTGAATGTCTCAAGTTAATTTTTGAATTGCAAACAAGTTTTGTTCTAAGCACTTGGTAGATTTAAAAACTTGAAAACCGGAGTATTTACATTCATTCTAGTTCGAATCAGTAAGATTTCTCAATTACCTCTCTTTGAACTATCAAATAAATTGAAACTTGTAGAAAAATGTGAGTTTCAAGTGCTTCCACTATGATTTCTCAATAATGGAAAAGTGGAAAATAAAGTAAGAACCACATTGGACTGTAATCAATGTTCAATTCTATTTTATATTTTTCTATACCTGGTGATTTTGGGGTATATTGTATAGTAAAAATAGATAGATATAAGAAATATATATAGCCATATTAAGGTGGGAGTGATTTTACTATTTCTCTACTTAAAATTCTCATATATCAACGACACCCTCCAAGTATCAATGTATAATTTTTTAAAGTTCAATTAAACTCTATTTATATTAATATAATTGCATTACATATTACAAAATTAATCAACATTTCAATATTAATGAATAAAAGCCAGACATTTATGCCAACATATTCCGAAAAAATTATTAAATGGTAATTGCTTAAATAAATGCATGACATTTATGTTATTTGACAACAATCTTGTAACCTTCTATAATCTTAATTGCAAATGGTTGGTTTAGTCTCAACTCGGATCCCAAATGAAACATTTATTATTATACATTTGCTTAAATGTAAAATTAAACGTACTTTTAGAACTGTTATGTTCGAAATCAATGGAAAAGGATGTACATATAGAAATAAAAGTTCGACCTCATAACTAAAACCAGAAATTTTGATATATCGAAATTTTAAATATCGAAACAATTTTTATACAATATATTTGTTAATTTTCCACCTAATTTATTCTTAGAACATTTATTTTTTAAGACGACTGGAATTATGTTTCACATATGTATGTGGAACTAAGTTTTCAATCTTATATCGTCAACTTTAATATTTCGAAATTTTAAATACCAAAACTTTTTTAAATTAATTATTTTTTTAAATTTTAATCTAATTTCATTTAAGAACTTTTAATTTTAAAGTTCATTGGAATTTGAATGTCAAAATATGGAAAAAAAAATGTTCGATATCATATCCAACATCATCAACTTTGATATATCTAAAGTTGATATATCGACGTTTGCATTCAACGTTAAGATATCGAAATATGTACATACATATTAAAATGAATATCGGCTTGTGCGTTAAAATCGATATATTACAGACTTATCGTTAATTTCTACATAGTGGTAATTGTGTTTGGAAAACACATTTGTACTAGTTTTCTTTATATTAATTTAATTTATTACTCTTTTTCTTTATTTCAATTTAATGCTTAGAGTTTTTTACTCTTTTTCTTTATTTTAATTAATACTTAGAGTTGTTTACGCTTTTTCTTTATTTTTATTTAATTCTAAGACTTTTTTTTACCCCTTTTCCTTATTTTAAATTAAGGCATAGACCTTTGCTTATAGTCAGAAACACTCTATCGAGTGCCTTCTTGCAATGGCTAAAAAGGTATATTATTTCTAGCTAAAATCAGCTCAAAGTAGCAATAACTGCAACTGTCAGTTACAGCAGCAATAACATGTCAATGTAACAAAGTTGCAGTAAAAGTGGCTATGGCAAAAAGCGATAAAATTAAACCATAAATGTCAAGTGCTTTGCCAGATTTCCCGACATCACGGTGAACGTCGAAAGAGGAGAACGGGGAAAAAAGAGAACCCATGCCGATGTCGATACCCAATACCCCGATACCGATACCGATACCCGAGAACAACCCGAGTCCGAGCAAGCAAGGACATGCTCACCGCACTCCATTTATGCACCGAAACGAACTCTCTAGAGCCGGCTAATCCGGATAGAGTTTCTCATCGAATCCGGCTCAGATGTTCAACGTCAGTTGGGTGACTTTATTGCCATGGCCGATGACTGATGAGTCAGTTTGCCAATTTCCCCACCCTCCCCAAAAGAGTAGTTCTGGGGAAACACTTTTGAATTATGCATCTGGCGAACGAGGGAAACGCGGAAAAGTGTCTGCACCTTTCCGTATTTTGATTGATGCTTGGCAAACGAAAACAAAAACAAATCAAAATGAGAAAATGCCAATCGGGGAAATGTGAACGGGAAATGGAATGGATGGTGGGTGGAAGCAGGAAAATACTGTGCTCATACTCGCATAAATGCCAGGCCAAACAAACAAATAAATAAATAAGGAAACGGAATTATTACAAGGTAAATCAAAGGGGGGAAAGAACTTGGCTCAAAGACACTGTAAATGAGAAAATAATAAAAGTAATGAAAGTTGATAAGTTGTGATTGATAAAGTGTTTATTAAAGAGGTCTCGTAAAGAAGTCTCGGGAGAAGATGTGCAAAACAAGCTCAACGATTGAAGAATTACTTTAAAACAACCATTAAGACTTGTTCGCTTTCCTTATTTATTATTTTTCGATATGTAATAACACAGCAGGGAAGTTATATAGCTTGGGAAAAACGATATTTGTATACCCTTGCTCAGCTTTATTTTATTTAACTGCTGTCTAACTTTGAACATTACTATAAATAATATATTGTGTATTAAAAATATAATTTCTCTCCCTCATAAAACTTTAACAATTGTTCAATAATATCTAAAACAAATTTTTCTGCAATATTTTCTTTTAACTAAATTGACTAAAAATAAACTTTCATTTTAAAATCTCTATTAGATCGAAATTATTATATTCAACGTTTAAATTTAAATATATTTATTTAAAATATCGGAAATTAAATCAAGTTAAAAAATTAATATATCGAAAAGTATCAGAAAATGTTATTATATTTGCTTATCTTTTTTCGATTATACTAGTTCGATAACAATAAAGTATCGATAAAATATCTATTTATTTATAGAATCGATTAATATATTTTCTGCAATCCTTCATCCTAAGCTAGTAAATACGACACATAGACCTCAAAAAACTTGTACTAGATATTAGATATTCTTAAAACTTGTAAACCAACTTTGTTTATACATATATGTATATAATACGACTTATGGTAAAAACATATAAAACTGAAAGGCACTGTACCATTTTATCGAGGGCATCGGCATTTCTGAATTTACTTTTATTGTACTTACAGTATGTGTCTGTTGTTAAGCGATCAATGGTATCCTGTTTCAACTTGGAGCTCTTTTTTCCCATGTTGTTCTTGTTGTTTTTGCTCTCCTGGTTGTGGCTGCTTTTGTGGTTGCTTTTGCTCCTTTTGGTTGATAGTTTCCTTTTTTTATTTTTTGCACTTGACTGCTATTGCTTTTTAGAGGCAACTTTTTTGTTGCGCAGTTCGTCTTACTTTTGCTTATTTCTGTTTTGTATTATTTGTATTTATTTATGTATTATTATTTTTTGTTGTTTGGATATACAAAAGTTTTCAATAAGTATTTTAATATGCTTTTTAATGCCCCATAAGAAAAAAAAAAAAGACAAAGAGGAAATTAAATGCAGACCCAAAAGGGAAAAAAGTGCAAGCGAATTTCTCAGCACTTTTGTTTCTATCGATTTTTTCGATAACTACCAAGGAAAGTTTATGAAAAGTTTCGCTCAGATTTTCTTCTCACTTGGGCCAGTGTTTAAAGTTTCGAGGAGTTTTCGTAGAGTTAAAGGGTGTGTGAAGTGATCTTATCTGACGGATTCCTGATGCCCACTTGTATCTATTTCCCATTGGCAAGCCTCTTATAAAGTTATCGATAAGTACTTTAATATACTTAAATATAATAAACTAAAAAGAAAATGAAGGAAATGTTAAATCGAAATATATACAATTTTAGCAGTTTTTCAGCTGTTAAATATATGTTTGAGTATGTATCGATTTTTTTCGATAACTTCTAAGGATAATATATGAAATGTTTCCCTTCTATTTTCTTTTCTAGATTCGGATTCAACTTAAAAGTTCCAAGGAATTTTTCTAAGTTAAAGATTCACTGACCTGACAGATTCCTAATGATTCCTTTGGGAACTTTTTATCAAACTTATCGATAATCCATGTGCACCGGCCTCAATACAAAACTATTCTCGAAACCCCAGTTTTCTGGTGAGGGGAAGGGTTTTCAGTTCAATTAGTGATTTTGCCGACAACGAAAGCGACAACAAAGACGATGATTATAACGAGAACAGGGGCGTGGCAAGGTGGTCTATGGGGGGTTTTTTTTTTTTTGTTTTTCTCTGCTCTGCTCTGCTCCTCTGGAAAAGCCCGCAGCGAACGGGTTAGCGGGTCGAAAAAGGCATAAAAATACACAGAGCGACACTTTTCAGGTCAACTCTCGACTCGAACTTTTCATGACAGTTGGCAACACAAACAAGAAGGGAAAACTAACATGGGAAAGCTGAAATCTGTATACCCTAAGAGATTGTATTGTGGGAATTTTTATTTTGTTTAGTTTTTAAATCATATTACTATAGAAATTAACAAAGCTATAATTGTTGTTCCCACAAATTCAAACACTTCTCTTATATTATATAGTTATTCGATTGAATTTATATCAACTTATACCTTTCCTTTCTATAATAAAATGGAAACTATATATAAAATGTCATTTATTTGCTCTAAAACTGACTACTTCTTGCAACTAGATTGACTCGCCTGTTGATGCCAGCTTTATAGCTTTTGCAAATTTCTGACTAAAAAATGATAATACCCTGCCAGGGCATAAAAAAGCGCCATAAGGAGGGGAGGGGAAGGGGGACCCGGTGCAGAGGCTGCAAACAAAAGCGCATAAAAACTTAACCCTGTGTGTGCCGAGTGGGTTGAATGTGGGCGTTGTACTTTCTGTCCGCCTGCTGCGGTTGACGCGAATGGCATAAAAATAAGTTGCCTTTGTTTTTTTTTGCACCCCCTTTCTTTTTTTCTGCGTCCTGCCCTTGCTCTCTGTCCCCGGAGAATAAGGAGGAGGAGGATATGGTAGGTAGGGGCTGTTGCATGGCTATGAAATAAATTCAGTTAATTTCAGATGCAGTCCCACAGAGATGTCGCATGCAAAACGCCTGGCATCAAGTGCAGAAACGAAATCAAAACACTCGATCCCAAAAGGAGTGAAGGTCGGCAAAAGGGGTGGGGAGAAGCCCAGAGTCGAGGTTATGCTGGATATACCGATTCCCAGGGGACTGGGAGCGTGGCAACGGTTCCGCAAGTATCTTTTTCCAAAAACATGCGACATTTTTGGAGTATTGATATTCAAAATGGTGCAATTTGGACGTTGTTATTAAATATATGCATGGTTGGGTTCATTTTTGTGCCGATACCATTGTTTCAAAATTATATCAATAAGTTTGTACGTTTCTTTGTCCCTTCTTACCAGGGTTTTTTAATTGAATTTCATATCGACATCATTGTTTCATAATTATATCAACTATTTTGATTTTTTCTGTGTTCCTTTTTTGTATATTTTGTTCGAATCTATAATTTCAAATTATATTAGTTCGCTTTTGCCCTTTTTTGCGCCTTTTGTGCTATTTTGTTCTGATTCCATCATTTCAAATTTGTGTAAACATACCATCCATAAACTTTCGATCATATGTAAATACAATATTTGGAAAATCTTTAATAAGAAATACTTTTTACTATATGGGAAGATAATTCTCTGATATCTGAATATTATGTTTAATTCATTTTTAACCCTAACCATTCGGTAATAAAGTAATAAACGTTTTAAAGAACTCTTTTGCTTCAACGTTGATTTTTTCTTAAAATCATCAAAGAAGTTATTTGCAGTATGATCAAAATCCAAGATACAGACTTGAGTTCAAAGCACTAAATAATTTTTATACAAACTATGTTTGTATTTCTTTCCTTAAATATTCTGTATGTTTTGTTTTTATTCTAAGGACTTTCATACTATCTTTAAACTTGCAAAGTGTGAAAGCTATTCTGATTCATTTAATATAATTACAAATGAAAAATATATAGAATATACTCTTCTTCCGATATGAACATTGGTATAACATATATTTCCAATTAAATTAAATTAAATTAAAATTGAGTTCAAAGCAATTCATCATTTATTGGAGGAGCTATATCTTCCTTTCAATATTCGACATATCTTGAATTCTTTCTAAGGACTTTCATACAATTTTCAAACTTGTAAAGCGTGATTTCGATTTATTCAATATAATTACAATTGAAAAATATCCTGAATATGTTCTTTTTCCGATATGGACATGGTAAAAAATATATTTCCAATTAAATTAAATATATCATTTATTAGAGGAACTACATCTTCTTATAAATAGTCGACATATCTTGAATTTATTCCAAGGACTTTTATACAATTTTCAAATTGTAAAGCGTGAAATCTATTTCCGTTCATTCAATATCTTGAATATGTTCTTCCGATATGGACATTGGTATAACATATATTTCCAATTAAATTAAATTAAGCTTGAGTTCGAAGCAATATATCATTTATTAACGGAGCTTTATCTTCCTTTCAAAATTCGACATATCTTGAATTCTTTCTAAGGACTTTCATACAATTTTCAAATTGTAAAGCGTGAATGCTATTTCGATTCATTCAATATAATTACGATTGAGAAACATCTTGAATATGTTCTTCCGATATGGACATTGGTATAACATATATTTCCAATTACGGCTGGGTGACCCCATTACCTGGTTTCTTGCCTCTCTTAACGAACTCTTTTATTATGGAGGTGAGCACAATTATGTAAAGCTTTGCTCGCTGCAGAGACCCTCAATATCTTCGTTCAAGTCGGGTGAAATTCTTGTTGCTTTTGACTTTGTTTGTTTACAAAACTGTCACACACACACACGCACACACACCGCTCGCTCGCCCACACACACAAACACACACGCACACACAGGCTCTCTGCAGCGGCACCGTGTGTATCGCCCCTTCTCTGTCTGCTGTGAACATGAGCCATTGGCATTTGCTAACTAAACACACTTCTCTGTCTCTGTCTCTTTCTCTGTCTCCGTGGGTGAGTGCGGGTGTATGTGTGTGTGTGTGTTATCATGTCAGGTGTGCTTGTTCTCCTGCGTCATGTGCCTGTGTGTGCGTTTGTCGCAGTGTTTCAGTTTCATTCTGTTGCCTTTTACAACGAGCAACGAGCAGAAATTTGTTCACACTAAAATATTTTTACGTTTATTTCGTTCACAGCTGGCTGCTAATGCAGTGCCAACGAGCGAGATGGCACTATGCACGAGGTCCTTTTCTCATCATCCTATACCTCCCCTCCCGCCCCTTTGCGCCCAGTGTCTTGGCTTGTAACTCGACTCGTTTATCTGTCTGAATGTTTCCCAGTCCCCCGTCCTCCTCCTCCTCCTCCTCCTCCTCCACGTGTGTGCTTATTTTTTATGCTGCAGTGTTGTTGTTCTCCAGCCTCCAACCCATTCTCCTTCTCCCCTTCTCCTCCTCTCATTTCTTTGGTTGCGTGTTCATCTCGCGTTTAGCCCGCGAGCATGCAACACTTTTCTCGCACTCATCTTCTCGCTCGACACTCGCCAACAAAAAATGGGAAATGGCAAATGGGTAAGGGAAAGAGAGAGAGAGAGAGACAGAGAGCGGTAAGCGTGGCGGGAACGCGGCGAATGGAACGCAGCTATGCGCAAAGTTATTCGAATGAAATGGATTGTATGCGATATGCGATATGCGAGTCGAGTTGAAATACACCAGGAAAAAACGCAATAGTCACACCATGCAACACAATCTTTGGGTTCAATCATATTTCATAGAATTAAACTGATTGGAAAATGGCATTCAACTGTAATTCGCTTAATTGAAATGAAACGGGGAATGTTTGGAATGTGGTTGTAAAAAAGAAAATTGATTTATTTTTCACATATTACTACTCCTTCGACTGCAGCAGACTCGAATAGTTTCGTCCAGACTTAATAAACATTATACTGTTTCCGAACTTGCCACAAATGGAAATAATAAAAATTTGAATTTGGGTCATAAAATGGATCATTTCATAGTTCAATTTGGAATTGGGGAATGGAATGGGGAACGTCTGGAAAATATTAGGAATTCAATTTGTGTGAACAATTTAATTACACATTCGTCCAAACTTAATAAACATTATATTGCTTCACATTTTGCAAAAATATGGAAATAATATAATTTGGAATTGGGTAATAAAGTGGGATAAGCTATTTCATAGTTTATAGTTTCATTTGGAATTGGTTAATGGACTGGGAAAATATTTTGAATTTAATTTTTGTAAAAAAGAAAGAGAACAGCGTGTCTAAATATAGTAAATATATAGCTGGTTTATTGCAAAATTAGCTAAAATTTTAGATATCTAAAAAATAGGTCTTCTAAACTCAAAAAGTGACTAGATTTAGTCAATAAATTTAGTATGACCGCATTTGCAGGGCAGATAATTTTAAATTAATTGAAAAATTACCCAAAAATAAAGATACTCCTCATACTTTATAGTAAATTATTATTAAATATTATAAATAAATTCTCAATTACAATGACATTCATTCAAAATTGACACTATTTAGTTCCAATTCAATATATACCCCTTTTCACCCTTTCTTACATATTAATTGAGACTTTTAATTTATCTTTATTATTTTGTCATTATTTAATTTAAGTTAAACTTATAAGAAGGCTTTACTTGAATTAAATTTCAATTATTATTATTATAAACCCGGTAAGCCACAAAATAACACAATTTAAAAAATATTTCAATTTCCTTTCACTTAAAACAGTTTTCGAATAAAACTACAAAACTTATTAATTTTTTCCCGTGTAAAAATGCAAATGAAGATGGGGAGATGGCCAGAAGAAATGAAAAAAATAAAATAAAAAGCGAGAAGAAGGCAGCGAAGGGGAATTGCAGCAGCTGCAAAGCCCCTCTAGGATCGGCGGAGGTGGTAAATTAATTTTTACATCCACCGCATCCAGGGCTACCCAAAAGCGATGAATGACAAAAAACACCAACGAATATGAAGCGAATGACTCCGATGCCAACACAATGCACAACCAGGACTCTTGGGCTTGCAGCTTGAAGGATGAAGGCTGAAGGATGCTGGTGGATTGCAATCAACTTGGCGAGGCGGTTGTGGGATTGCCTGAATGTCAGTCGTGACTACCTTAAGGCGATTGGATTAGGCCAAGAACTGGACCACGAAGGAGGAAACTCATCTCGGCAAAATGGAAAATTCCTCAGAGCATTTAATAAGGTTTTTGTGGGGAGCCAGAAATAAAGGCAAGCCCCCATTAATATTTAAATATAATGAATTTATAATGAAACTAAGTTGGGTTAAATTATATATAATTATGTATTAGATATGATTCAAGTCATAGGATATTATTCTCCCTTAAGTCGGTGTCCTTTAAAATGTAATATCTCACTTTGTGGATCGTTCAGCTAACGCAGATTGCATCGTTTAAGGCCCCCAAAACTGAGACAGATTGCCCAATTTGGTTGCAAATGAGAGCGGCATTGAGATCTTATCCTTTTGGATTGCCTACGACTACGATTCTCGTGTCCGCTTTTCCTCGCGTTCATGCTAATTCCCGGGATTTTCTTGTTAACTGCTTTTGGCCATGGCCAATTATCGAAATAATTGATGCAAATTAAAATGCATTTTGTAGCCAATGTTTTGTTTTGTCACTCTATCTGGAAGAGGGGAGGAAGGTTGAGTCCTGAATCCAGCTATATAGCTGGAAAACGAGGAAATGACACGCAAGGTGAAAGGTGCATTTGTGATTACGGACGGATTGTGTGCGGATGATTGCGACCATTGATGGCGACAGGGGCGGCATGGAAAGGTTGCATGGATGGAGTCCACCCCTCCAACTGATGAGTCCTTGGAGGTTAAGTCTAAGGTTTTGTCTAGCAAGCTTCTATACCCCTACATATTCATGATTTCTTAGATACTCTCAACTTTTTGAGCTCTAATTATACAAACAAATCAAAGTGTTATAATTTTTCTTGAAAGCTGATACATATTTGACATATTTAATAGCTTAAATGACAACATTATTGTTCTATAGTTTATATAAACTTCCCCCTAAAAGATGTAAAATTGTGTCCTTATTTCACCTTTCACATTTTATTTCATTTATTTTATTGCCTACTTCTGGGCATCATTTCAATAGATTTTAGAAATCAACAACAGCTCGTAGGCCATAGTAAAGGGTATTCGCCCCCAAATAAAAAAAAAAAAATGGCCCTGCCGTTCTTGTTGTTTACATAATCCTTCCACGTTGTTTCGCTGTCTGTGGGTGTCCTTCCCCATCACCTTCTCCGTCTCCTGCTTACTGTATTTCTTTCTTTCTTTCTGTTTTTTTTTTTATTTTTTAGCGGCAGCTGCTGGACCGCAAAACGTAAATTTGGGTCAAGTTCTGTAAGCGTAACGAATGCCAGGAGCCAGAACCAAAAAGGAACATAGCCCCGAGACCATCCCATATGCATAAATGTGAAATTTGCTATCTCTTTCGGTTGAGGGTGTGTGTGTGTGAGCTTGAGCCTTTTGTATAAATTAATCTTTGACTGCCGCACAAAAGTATGCTACACAAATATAAATAAACACTTAATCTCCCCATTGTTTACCCCACTGTGTGTGTGTGTGTGTGTGTGTGTGTGGGTGTGTTTGTGTTGCCGTTTTACTGTTTGTTTGTTTGTTTGCTTGTTGTTTTCTTTTTTATCACAACTATTATTGTTTGTGTCCGTAATGTTTTCATTAAATTCTCTTTTTGCTATTTAAATTAGATTAGATTATTTTGCCACTTTTGCATACTTTTATGCTTTGAATTTATTGTAATCTTTTGTTATTTTGTTTTTAACACCAAAACCGAAAAAAATTGAGTTGTTGATTAAACTATACTTGCAAAAAAATAGATGTATGTTATATAGTTATATATGTAGATTAAAACAAACCGACTACATGTAATTGCTTTGTATATTTGTTGTTGCTTTTATTATTATTGTTGCGGCTATTGTTGTTGTTGTTGTTGTCAGTGAACCGAGAGCGCGTTTTGGCCTGCTTTCTTTCTTTATTTATTTATTATTATTTTTTTTTTTGTATTTTTCTTTGCGGACGCTTTCTTTATCAGCCGAGAGCTGCCTGCGTTGCGTTTGTTTGGCGGTCAAATCAGCGACTGAAAGCGCTCACGGAATACGGACCACGGGAATACGGAATACGGAATGCGGCGAACTGCGGCACGCTGCTTGCTGGTGTACGCTGGTGTACGCTGGTGTGTGTGTGTGCGCCCGTCAACGACTGAGAACGTTCTCAATGGGCGCGTGGTGGATAACCGGCCCCGTAGGCGACTTATGTAACGCACACCAGTGCACCATCGCACAGCAAATCCACCACAGGCGAGGCGCAGAAGCTTCTCACCACCACAACAACAACACACTCACCACACAGCGTTTACACACGCACGCATGTCGCGCAAAGTGGTGTGCGTGTTGAGGCATCTCTGTGTGCGTGTTAAAAGCTGAAAAGCAAGAACTTACAACAACAAAAATACCAGCCAAGCTAGGAAACAGGCAGCGGAGGACCGAAAACAAAGAAACCAAAAAATAAAACTAGAGAGAAAGAAGAGGAGAAAGAGCGACGGCAGAGGTAAAAAAAAAAAACAAAATAGAGTAGAGTTAAGAGCGGAGAGAGGAGAGAAGGAAGAGTAGAGCAAAAGGATGGCGCAAGTTGAACTCCATGAAAAACCCGTGGACACAAAGTCCTTCCCCGGAAAAGAAACAGAAGCCTTTGACAATTACCAAAAGCTGGCAATGGTCTTAGATAAGAGGGCCAAAATTGTCGAAGAGCTGGAACAAAATAAAGTTGAACCAGAACTGGGACAATCAGCCAAGCAGTTAGCGATAAATTTACCCCACGAATTTCTATACACATGGGAAAAAGATACTAGACCTCTGAGGTAGTTAATGATATTATTTATAACACATTTTAAATTATAATAATTTGCTTTGTTTATACCCTAAAAATCGGAGTTAATTTGCTCGAAAAGCGAGAAAGTAATTTAGTAATAAAATTTCATCCTATCTTTCTATCTCGCTCTTGCTCTACTTAAGTGGCTAGCCGAGTCATGAACCATGGATTTGAGCTCTATACTGATCAATAATGTTACTATTGAATGGTTTTTATTATATTCTTCGTTTTAAGTCGAATTTAGATACCCTAATTGGTTAAAATTTGTAGTAAATGCACTTAAATACAGTATTAAAAAGGGAATTGTAAAATTTAGTTTATAAACCAGAATTAATTTGATTTATGAGAGAAAAGAAAAGATTTCAACTTGATTTCTAAATTATTTTCAATTTTATTTATTTTGCAATAAAATAGCAATACTCTCTCTCTCTCTCTCTCTCTCTCTCTCTCTCTCTTTCCACCTCGCTCTCACTCACCGCAAAGGCTTAGCCAATTCACGAACCATGGTTTAGAGATATGGGATGATCTAGAATTTAACTTTTAGTTTATTAAAATATGAAAATACTCTTTGTCTTAGGAGTTTTTAACGAAATACAAAGAGCTTCTCTTGGATTTCAACGATACACATAGCTAAGTGGTTAGCTTAAAAGAAACCTTTTAAGCTTTGTAGGTCTTCTATAAACATTTTCTTTGAAATGTCATCGTCCCAAAAGGATCCCGTTCTCAATCTTAGTTGATGGCAAATTATCGAACTATTTTTATATACTTTTTCTCGACGTGCAGGGACATCAGTTGGTGGGGTAAAAAGAAACTTTATCACCAGAGCGGCAGATACGGCGGGAATCGTAAAGCCGGGAAGTGCGTATACGCACTCAGCCAGTGGCGGACGCACCTCAAGAGAAGGTCCTGGCGAGTTCCTCTCTCTCTCTCTCTCCCTAGTCCTTATTCGGGATCCCTATACTGCTCAATGACGTGGCTGGGTAACAATCCAGCAAATCCAACAAACGAACAAACAAACAAATACATGGCATAACACGATAATAATAAAAATACAAACATTTGCCATTGCGTGTCCCTCAATGACGTAACCCCCCTGAAAACTTACACACACACACACACACACACACACAGTGAGAAAGAGAGAAAACAGACTAGGACTGGGACGAGGGGTTGCGCTAAAACCACAGCAAAGGACCAAAAACGAAGCAAGTTTGGTTCCAGTTGCGTTGCCCCGCCAGAAATTTACATTTTTCTATGTGCGTACAGTGCGGTGAGGTAGTGTAAGGGCAGGATAGATCCTTTATCAGCCTTCTTTGGTAAATATAATTATCCTATGAAATTTTAAATATATGTACATGAATGGAAACAAAAACTTTCTCTGCTACCACAAGCACCAGTATGGTCCCATTGTACATATTCTTTTGTAAATAAGACTAGGCTAGAATTACTTTTGAAAATATTTTTAAATAAGTGAAAAACAAATGTCCTTTCTTGTGACTTACCTTATTTCTCTGCCGCACCAAATGTCCTCCAATACGGTCACATTGTAATTTGGTGGCCAAATCTGGTCACTTTTTTGCATGAAACATGTTTAGCGACTTTTTATTTTTTATTGTAAAGGGTTTTAATTCAATTTCATATACATAATTCAAGGCACTATGCCAAGATCAAAATAGAACATAAAATATATTACTTATATTACATTATATAGATCACTATGAAGTACATTATATATCAAGGATTATCCAGACTTCCTTCAATTGAGTTCCAACTCTTGATATAATCTGTGCATATTTTGCTACGATCCAACTTTTCAAATTGGTGTGTATTAGACTTAAGAATTGAGAATTTCTAGCAACTTTATTGTAGAGTTTTATGACTGTGCTTATTAATTTAATATTAAATGATTAATATTAATATTATGTATGCAAAAATACCACCAAAATAAAAGGTGCTATTTGTCTCTCATATCTATCTCTGTCATATATCTATATATCTATCTCATATCTTAAAGAATTAACCATATAATAATATTCCTAATTAAATGACACTTTTTCATGTCACACCATAGTATCGCACCTACTCCATCAGTTTTGTGCACTTCTCACCTTTATGGACCTTTTCTTTTTTTTGTTTGTTGTACCATTTAATTGAGATTAATGTAAACCCCTTTTCGTGTATCCATCCATCCTCCCCCACCTTACGCACACGAAACGCACTGTCCAGTCACACACACAGAGACAGAAAAATATCTCGTTGTCAGAGTTGTTCTTTCGGTTGCCTTGCCCCACTCGTTAATTGCCCCATCCAGTGGCAGCCACATCAGTTTTTATTGCCCTCCCGAGAGGGTCAGGGAGGTGTTAATTTCTAGAAGTGTGGGGGTGTGGAGACTCTTGGAACATAAAAAAAAAACACAACTCTTTTGGACTCTGAAAAGAATTGAAAATTTATCAAAATCCAGAGAGAATATCTAAATAATTTCCAGCTGCAATTAGCCAAAATGTGAGTCAGAGCGATTCCCAATGTTTGTTTTTCTTTTTCCACTATTTGTTTGTTATAAAATTTCCCAATGCCAATCGAACACCTTCATGGCCTTGCTCACAAGTGGAAATGCGGAAAAATTTAAATGGAAATTGGGTATTGGGTATGGGTATATATATTTCGGTTCAGTTTATATGTCCAACTTGAGTGCAGGGAAGGAAAAACAAAGACGCAACAAACAAACAAACAAAGTCTCGGCCATCAATCAAATTTCGCTTTTTGTTGAGCACACTTTTTGGGGGGTTTTTTTCCTCCTTTTCTCGATTGCGTCAGAGAGACAGAACTTAATTTTAAAGTTCCTACTTCCTACTTCCTACTTCCTATTTCTTAGGGGGAGGGCAAGAACTCGAATAAGGACACAGAGACAAGAAGAAGACATTCCCCCGAGTTGTCGTAAGCGCTGACTAATCAGCGTCATTATCAAAAAAGCCACAAAAGCAGGGGCTGTAAAATAAGAGAGGAACGGGGGAATGGAGGAGCAATGTAGGAGAAATGTAAGAGAAATGGTGAAATGAAAGAGAGAGAGCAACATTTTGTGATTATCATTGCGAGGCGAAAGTGCTTTTTAATGTCGCCGAGCATTTTAAATAATTAGCTGATGCGGGCGGTAATGTTGTAATGCCCTAAAACCATCCCTATTACTCCTTCCTTTACATCCCTCCATCCCCCCCAACCCTTGGCAGTTACTCCATTTGTAATTAGCGCCCCAAAAACGTGGCACGTTTTCTTTCTTGGCTTTTGGGTTGCTTCAGCACAAAAAAAAGAAAGAGTTATTTCAGCTACAAGATGATCCTCATGCTTTTATTCATGTCTAAACATGCACTGATATTCCATGCGTCACACATGGCGTATGCGCAATGTTGACCCCCCCCCCTAGACATGACCGTTATTCCACCATTCCTGCGGCGGCCAAATTAATTTACGGTGGAGTGTTACGGAACAAGGCAAAAAAAAAAGAATATAAATGAAACGAGGGGTCCCCCCACAAAAAAAAAAACAGAAAAAAACATGAAATAATAATAAATAAATTCATTAACATAAAACACGAAGAGTGTGAGAGAGAGAGGGAGAGAGGTTTTAGGGGGATGGAGAGAATGCGTGACGAAAAGCGGAAACCAGGGCTGGCTCGTTACCTGCCTGGAGATTATCATCAGCGGAGAAGGACTGTTGTTATTGTTTTTTTTTTTTTTTTTTGGGAGGGGGGGTAGACCCTCCATTGTGCTTCCTTTTCCCCCCATTCCCCCCCCCCCCCCCCCTCCAAAAAGCCCGAGGTAAGCATCGTTAGCACTCATTTGCATAATTTTTGATGCCAAGTGGCATTTTCTGTCCCCACTCGACTCGGTTTGTATCGATGGCGGTGAAAAATGTTATCAAATGTATACATATACGTATATATATATATATACGTTTATTTATTTTTTTTCGGACTTTTGCCCCTAGTGGGTGAAAGACCAAAGGCCTTTGTGTGTTTGCGAAGGGTTAAAAACACTTTTATGCCTCATCAACGCACTTTTACGCTCACTGCGCCCCCGTCAACTTTTATTAATTGAGTTTTGTATGAAGTGACAAGAGGAAAATGAGGGTAGGTAGAGGGGGGGGGGGGGGGAAAGGCAGAAGGGAAAAGCGAAAGGAAAAGCCTACGGTATACGGTGAAGGTAGGTTCATTGTTGGCCAAGACAATGGGAGACACATCAAAATGTGGTCCTCCGTGAAATGATAAAACCGAATTAAGGACAAGTGCGGAAAGTC